AAAAAAAAAAGCAAGGCAGGATTAGTCTAAGGAGTCATTCCTGAGCTGACACAAAAGCATTTTAAGTAAAAATTTTTTCCTTGATGACACTTGTTCAATTTCCAAGTGGCCCAGAAGAGTGCAATTCCTGAATATTTTCATGCAGATCAAAAGGCTGGCTGAAGCTTTTTTCTGCTTTCCATAAGTAGCATCTGTCTTTCCCATGCTTCGATTTGCTTGAGGTGTCTGTTTACTGTCCCTGTTATATTTGACAATACTTATGTAGGGAATGAATAAGTGAGTCCTGTAATTAAAGAAGACCTTACAGATAATTGCTTTACACGAGTGTAAACTACATTACAAATGAAAATCAATTTTAATATAATACCAATGTCGATTTTTTTTTATACTTGCAGAATTTGATTTGAAATGATTAGTTTTAATTAATTTATTTCTTTTTGGTACCGGGGATCGAACTCAGGACCTTGCCCTTGCGAGGCAGGCGGTGGAACCACTGAGCTAAATCCCTGGCCCTATTGATTAGTTTTATTTAGTCGTAATCTCACATTCTTAGGACACTGTATTAAACTTCAAGTGGCCAGGTTACAGCACAGGAAAGAAACTGAAGAGTACATTATGACCACATAGCACTGCAAAGGTTTCAAGTAAGTTAGAGGATTAAATCCCCTACTTACCAATTATACACAGTTGTCCTAGAAATATGATTTAAACTCTCAGCAATGTTAACCATGAGATTATAAAATATAAATCAGATTCTCACGTTGGGGACCTTAGGAGTACATATTCTCTTTCAATTATACACTTCTTAACCAAGAAGAAAAACAAAAAGTTACTCATGAAAAGTTAGAAATTAAAATAAACAAAGGACCTAAAAGGAAGAAACTATTTTATAGGGAATCACTAAACAAGATTAAGAAATGATTGTTCTTTCTTTTTAAATTTTACCTCTCGGACTTTCAGACTGCTGTCATCCCCTTGACCCTTGGGGTCTTTTACATTACTGGGATCTGGATTTTCTCTTAATTTCTTGTAGAAAGATATGACAGATCCCACTGACCATGAGGTCAAAGACTGGGTGTAAATCCCATAGCTAGGAGACCAGTTTAATGGGATCACATTTACCCCTAGCAGTTTTCTCAGTCCGTCCTCTGTCACACTCAGTACTGCCGTCCTCATAGCACCAGGGCAGCCTGTGGACAGACAGACATTGGAGGCCATTTCTTCCTCAGCAGGTGCGGAGCCTGTGCTGTAGCTGACACCCTCACCCGCAGATTCCTCTCCTCCTGCCACATGCGAGTTAGGGCCCTGACCAGCCTGATGGGCTACTCACCTTTAAATCTTAAAAATATTCAAAGTAAGACAGACTCAGTCCGATATTGCACGTTGTCTCTTGTATGTGGAATCAAAAAAGGAAAAAAGAAAGAGATGATAGGGAAGTAGAAGAGAGATTATTAGAGAAAAGAAGGGTAATGGGAGAAGTGGAGAGGGGGAAGGGAATGCAAGGGAAAGGGGACTAACGGGGTGAAATATTAAAATACATTAAATGTATGTGCAAATCAACCAAAATGAAACCCATGTTTGTATAACTAATAAGTACTCGTTATAACTACTACGCAATTAAAAAACTGAAAAACTCCAGCTTTTCTCCAAGTTCTGCTTGCTCCCTTGTCCCTGCTATCCTCATAACTGTGTATCGTACGGTGCACGCCTATTACCCCAGCAATCAGGAAGCTGAGGCAGGAGGATCACTGTGAGTTTGAGGCAGCCTGGGCTACAGAGTGAGACCCTGTCTCAAAAGGCCAAAAACAAAACAACAAACAACTCGCCCTGTCACATTGGAATAATACAAGTAATTCAAATCTCCCAGATTTTTATAATCCAAATTATTATAAGGACACATTGTAATGTTTTAGATAGGATTTTTGTCATTTCTAAAGATGAAATTGGGGCCAGGGATTTAGCTCAGCGGTTCCAGCGCCTGCCTCAAAAGCACAAGGACCAGTGTTCGATCCCCAGTACCCCCCCAAAAAAAATTTAAATCCTCTGTGATGCTTTTTATGGCATTTCTGTGAGAGGAAGTGAGGGAACATTAGTGAGAAGAAAGAAGGAAGAAAAAAGAAGGTCGGTGGAGAAGGCAGGAGGGGGTTTGTCCGGGCAACTTCTCATCTAAGCCACAGTTGCCAGGGGATGGGGAAGAGAAAGAAGGGCCTGTCAGTAAAAGATGCATTGGCAGGAACTCCTCTTAAAATCTTTCCTCCCTTCCAATATACTCTCTCATCATTCCTGCCACTTAACTGAAGCAGTTCTGGAAATCCTCTTTCGTGTCTTTGTGATGTGTGATTAAAAAAGTAACAATAGGGTGGTGCTGCTGAGTGGGAACCACGAGAAAGGCAGCTCGTAAAGACACGATGCTGTATCCTCATCCGCCCATTCGCTGGAGTCAGCACTGTGAATCTTCCAGCTCTCCACAAAGTCAAAATGACCGCGAAAGGTTGATGTCTTGAATCAGTGCAGGACCTCAAGGCAGCCACAACTGCACACCTACAGACACTCAGGGAAGACGGCTTCCAGGGCTGCCGCCGACAGTGGCAGGAGTGATGGGTTACACGTGTTTGAAGCAAGGGTGAGTGGTATCGAGGGGGATTAATGGCAGTGTTCCTTTTATTGTGAAGCATCTTTAAAATTTAAACACTCACTATGTATTTTGATCATCCTTTGTCTACACCTGCCCCTTTCTCTCCTTGGGCAACTTTGTATTCTTTGGCATATTCTAAACCCAAAGTCTAACTCGGTAAATGCCCATTCACCTTGAGGTTAATATTTATGTTTTTCCTTCTAGAGTTTCTTGTCTTTCTTTTCTCTTATTCTGTACCATGCTTTCTTGTTGGGGAAACAAAGGAGAGGCTCCCTTCTGGACCTTCTCGAATCTTCTAGTCTGACCTCCTAGACTCTTCGGCATGAAAAGTGTCCATACATCATTCCAGCCTCCTGAAAGCCACAGGGATGGGCACAGTGTAACACTGACTACTGAGACCATTTGCTGATGCTGATGTTCTTTCTAAGGACTAGACAGGCTCTATCAAATATGGCATCTGTCAGTGGCTTGGGAACATGAACCACACCACCTATGACTGACATTTACTTAGAGCCCACAGAACACTGAGTGTTGTGTAAAGAGTCCATTATCCACCACTCTCGAAGTAGGTGAGTCATGTTATCCTCGTTTTACAGATAAACACAAGGCACAGAAGACAAAATAAGTTTTTGCCATTGCTGTCAGAACTATGTCCCTGACCTTTTCATTATTTCATTCTGGCCAAAAGCACAAGAAAAAAGTGAGCTATCATAACTAATGTTAAGTGTGTGGGCCAGTAGGGTTACTATATGCATGTCAGTGTGCAACCAATCTCTAGAACTCTGTTACCTTGCAAAACTGAAGCTCTGCCCATTGAACAACTCCCCTCACCATTGACTTTTGTAGGAGAGTTTAGGGAGACATCCATGGGCAGAGAGTAATGCCAGTCCTGGCAAGAACACAGAAGCTCTTACTGAGTCCTCTGCCACATTTGATGCATGTGAATATGGAAAGAGAGAAAAAGGAAGAAGCTCTATATAGGAGAGAATGTGGCTCTTGGGACCGTCCTTCCTTCCTTCCTTCCTTCCTTCTTTCCTTCCTTCCTTCCTTCCTTCCTTCCTTCCTTCCGGGCAGAGAGTAATGCCAGTCCTGGCAAGAACACAGAAGCTCTTACTGAGTCCTCTGCCACATTTGATGCATGTGAATATGGAAAGAGAGAAAAAGGAAGAAGCTCTATATAGGAGAGAATGTGGCTCTTGGGACCGTCCTTCCTTCCTTCCTTCCTTCCTTCTTTCCTTCCTTCCTTCCTTCCTTCCTTCCTTCCTTCCTCTTCATTCCTTCCTTCCTTCCTTCCTTCCTTCCTTCCCTCCATCCCACCCTCCTTTCCTCTTTCCTTCCTTTGTACTAGAGATCAAACCTCAGGACTTTGTGCTTGCAAGGCAGGCAGCAGAACCACTGAGCTAAATCCCTGGCCCATCTTGGGACCTTTGTGAACCATGGCTCTCCAGTCTCCCCACTGCTTATCCCTGATGACTTTGCATAAACTCTCTGGGCTCACACTAAAGTGTTACCTTACTGTCCTGCTGTAGTTTTCCAGTTATTGTGTAAGAGCACAGTGATATTTCTTCACCTTCATTTCTCTTACTGAGAAATGGTCATTACTTTTATCACCGAAGACCAGAGAAACCTCAATCAGATAGAACTAAGAAGGATTCAATTCCAGTTCCTTCTGGTCTAGTGACCGAATGCTTTTTGTTTTTGTGGTACGTGGGATTGAACTCAGGTCCTTGTGCTTGCAAGGAAGGCGGCGGAACCACTGAGCTAAGTCCCCAGCCCATAGTGACTGAATGCTTGACAGGCATGGCATTGCTTTGAGTTGTGCTTTGAGACCCTACCATCACCATTAAATTTAGGTACAGCTTTGCCAAAGGCTTCCTGCGCAGCTTTCCACGATCAGAATACCCTTCACCTCTGCTGACCCTGCAGTCGTGGACAGTTGCGTTTTCTGACTCAGACTGTACAAGTGATCTTTCTGCTTCTGTCAGAACGTGAAGAAGACCGACTGGTTCCAGGAGTGGCCAGATTCCTACGTGAAGCACATCTACAGCTCGGAGGACAGGAGTGCACAGCGCCACCTGAGCAGCTGGGCCATGCGCAACACCAACAACCACAACTCACGCATCCTCAAGAAGTCCTGCCTGGGTGTGGTGGTCTGCGGTCGCGACTGCTCCACCAAGGACGGGCGCAAGATCTACCTGCGGCCCGCCATCTGCGACAAAGCCCGACAGAAGCAGCAGCGTGAGTGTGGCATGGGGGACCGGCCCTGCCCAGATGGGGACTTTGTCCTGACACATCCCAGGGCCCATGGAAGCCTCACCCTGACCAGTGATGGGCAGGGCTGTCCAGACATTGAACAGCTGAGGGAGCCACTGAGCCCCTGCCCTGAACACAGCGCCACCTGCGGACTGGTGTGAATGCGTGGGTGGTCCATATAGATGTAGGAGAAAGTAGTTTATCAATTCGTTATTTGCAGCCACAGTGGTGGGCTAAGTGTGAAGTTAGACTCAGTTTTAGGTTCTTATTGAAATGGCTGTTCTTTCCTTTTATTTTACCGTACTCACCAGCCTGTGAAATATACACCCAGTGTTCCCTGGGCCCTAAGCCCACTCCGAACCTCGTTACTCCACGATCTGTCCTAGTTCTCTGCAAAACTTGCTGTCAATTCAGGACTTGTTATAATTCATTTGCACCTTCTTGAAAATTCAGTGCTGGTTCTCTCTTATATGGGCTTTGCCCCTCAACTCTTAATTCTAATTGTAAAATAAAAATAAGTTTTTCCTCTCTCCGAAGAGTTTAAATCCCAGACGATGAGGAGGGAGAGGTTCTCTGCTCAGAAGAGCGCCTCTTTGCCCTGTGAGGCACCCACTTTGCTCCGCAGCTGCCATCGGCGTGAGAGCAGAGGGGCGCACGTCGGGCACCCCTACATCGGGGATGGGGGGACCGGGAGGGGCTGCCGTCACCCCTCCTGGTCCTCCCGGGGTCGGGGCTGAGCCCGGAGGGCGGCTGCGTGCTCACTCTGCTGCTCCCCCGCAGGGAAATGCTGTCCCAACTGCAGCGGGCCCCTGAAGCTCGTTCCCTGCCGAGGACACGGCGGCTTCCCAGTCACCAATTTCTGGAGGCACGACGGACGCTTCATATTTTTCCAGGTTGGATTTTAGTTACTGACCGCATTCTGCTTCTCTTTACCTTGAAAAGTGTTCACCGAGCTCCCTACAGAGCAGTATCGCCTGAAGCTGGAGGGACCCAGGGGATCGGGACCCTGCTCCCACCCCGAGGCCACCCCACCCCCTGCGCCCCGGGGCACAGATATCTGTGGCCTGGGAAGGCACCGCGACTCCCTGCACAGTGCTATCACCCCCGCTGGAACGCCAGCTCCGAGCTGTCTTCTCCTCCTTGCCAGAACTTCAGATGGAACACGGGGCCTTCACACTGGGCTACAGCCTTAGCCATTTACATTTTTTTAGGTTTTTGTTTTGTTTTGTTTTACTTGTTTGGCAGTACTGGGGATTGAACCCAAGGTCCCACCCCCAGGCCTTTATAAAATAAAATTTGACACAGACCCTTGTTGAGCCGGAGTTGCCCAGGCCCGGCTCCCTTGCAATTCTCCTGCCTCTGCCTCCAAGTGCTGGGAGGGCCCCACGCCCACCTTGGCTCTGACTTTGCTGCTGGGAGCCAGAAGAGTTGAGTTGCATTCATCCTAAAGCTCCCATTACAATATGTGAGAAGTACAAGTGCGGGGAGTGGTGAACGCAGCAGTGAAGGAGGAACTCTCTGATGTCAGGCCGCCTGGGTTTGAGTCACTGCAGTACTGCAAACCAGCTCTCCAAAACAAGGGAAAAGAAAAAAAGGCCTAATTGGGAGCGTTTGCCAGTTTCTGTGCTGTAACTATTTCTGCCACCACTGTTTTTTTTAAGTAATCCGCTCACTAAACTCCTGAGTGTTTCATAGTCAGCTCTCAGACCCTCACTTACTCAGGAAGGTGACCCAGGTGGCCTCTGTTTCCTGTCCCATAAACTGGGTGATAGTAATAGTACGCACCTCAAAGGGTGCTCGCTGAAGCCAACGTGCGGGCTTACTAATGTCCTGCACTTGCTACCGGAAGCAGGACAGACGAAAGGGTCCTGGGACAGGCAGGCTGCAGGCAGGACAGGGGTGGCTTGGGACAGGCGCCAAAGGTTTCTCCAGCCTTGTTACTCCCTGCGACTGCCGAAGCACCCAGTCACGCGGCGGCACAAAGAAGCAAGCACAAGGCCAACCCACTTACTCACTTCGCCTCCTGTTTCATCCTCATCTCCTTCCAGTCAAAGGGACAGCATGATCATCCGAGGCCAGAGACCAAGTTAGAAGCGGAGGCAAGGAGAGCAGTAAAGAAAGCACATACAGCATCCCCCTCTGTCTCCTTAAAGCGGAAGGGGAGCCCGGAGACCAAGGTAATCTGTCCCCACGTGTGCTCCAAATGGGTGACTCGCCACTCTTGTGGGGGAGCAGTAGTCCACCCAGGTCCTTTAGCAACAGGTGAAAGCCAAAACCCAGGTATTACCAAGCTCATCCCCAGAGCATCCGCCAAAGACTGACTTACTCTTCGTTTTCGCCATCTTTGTAGCATGCTCTTGAGCACAAACTCTGTATAACTATGGAATCATCTTCCCTAATGCAGTTAAAAAAGAGAAACCTGAATTAGTACCCAACCTGTTTGGCACTCGACATTTTTTAAAACATTTTTTTTTGGTACTGGGGATTGAACTCGGAACTTTGCACTTGCGAGGCAGGCAGCGGCACGACTGAGCTAAATCCCCGGCCCCTGCACTCTACATTTGGATTCTAACAGAACCAAAATTAATTGAAATGCTCTATACAAACTATTAGCCTCATGATCTTTTCTCCAACAAAATTTCTATATAGCCCCAAAACAAACTGCTTCCTTCATTTATGGACCAGGGCGAAATAAACACTTCTGAGAAAGGTGGTCACAGCAGAGTTGTTCTTGCTCCTACAGACTGTGTGATGCCAGTTGCCTCGTGGGCATCAGATCCAGGCTGTTGGTTTTCCTGCTTAACAGTGATGGTGGTTCCTATACCTGAAAGATCTACCTTTCTTTTCAGAACAGAGATAGAGCTAGTCCATTTCTTGATGCTTTAAATGTACCTTACAGAATTACAACTTGAGTCTGTTGTAAGGAAATGCAAACCTTCAAACTCAAATGCCTGGTCCTCTTATCCTTAGTCTTGCCTGTAGGACAAGTGAAGAGCATTTCTTCCACTACTCAGTCACAGCCCTTTCTCTTCCCCTAAAACCATCTCTTATTAGCTGATAATTTTACATAAATACTAGCATAACATAATTCTCAACCAGATTATTATCCTATGATTAACTGGAGATCAGCATTTCCTCCATTTACAGAAATACAGTGGCTCCTCAGTCTGTGAATGCTTTTGTTTGTCATTTGGTTTGTAAACAGAAGTTTGGCAAATTTTATGTTCTTGTTGTTTGTGTTCTTTCTGTATTGAGTGACAAACATGACCATGGCCATCTTTGCTGCACAAACACAAACGTGGCCATCTTTTCTAAAATTGTAGCACAAATTAAGCTCGTGAAACAAGGGACCACATTGGTCATCCCATGTTCTAGATGGCCTGCTTATAATTCGACAGACGTCCCATAAGTTCAGAGAAAATTCCCTTAAGAAGAAAAAAACACCCCTGATTTTTTCAGACTCCAACCAATATTTTAAAAAATGGAAAAGTCAAGGGAAGGAATGAGAGCTGGGAAGAGAAGGAGGGAAGAGACAAAGGGAGGGAGGGAAAGCAATGGAAAGAAAGGACCAATATCCCTGAGATTTGTACTATTGTATAAATCTTTGAGGCTGTAGTTTTGTTTTTTCTGAAGCACCCCTTCAGAATTTTTCGGAAAGGAGTTAGGACATCAGATTTATATCTGTGGGTGAAACGTCTTACACACCCTTGTGCTGGAAACTGCAGCTCTCACTGCTGAGAGAACTTTGCGAGGTGATGGAAATGGCCTTCACTTCTGCCAAAGCCTGTGTGCCTGTGGCAAAGCAGCTGTGTGTCAGGGTTTGAAGTATGCAAGGAATGAGGAAAGTCCGACGAGGCACTTACTTGGGTAGTACAGAATAACCCGTGGGTGCCTGTGGTTGTGCAGATTTGCTTAACTTATTAACGTGGGCATTTCACTTTCCTTTCCAGGCTCCTCCAAGCAAAAGGCCAAATCAGGGAAGTTTACCTTTAACTTGGTCATTCCAGGAAGGTGTCCACTTGCCCGGTAGTCACAGTGGACATTTAATAGCTAATGCTCCCCAGCAGAACCCACTGAATGATTGCTTACCCTTCTCTAAGAGCTATGGGCCAGGGGGACCCATAGATACTACGGATCTGATGAGTCTGCCATCCACGTTGGACTCCACTAAGCTCTATGAAAAATGCAAGCTGTCTGACGGTCGAATTCACAGCAGTGGAGACCTTTTTCAGCCTTCAGCCCCTGGAGTCTACTCAGATTATGACGATCTGCAAACATGGAGTAAAAACTCTGCTCTGGGGAGAAATTCTCTTAATGATAGCTGCTGCCCCAGTTATCCTTTTCCTCTGACCAACTGGCCCTGTGACTTCTTTCCTTCCCAGAACTCTTTGGAACCTTTGCCCCAGCAGATTCCTTTGGAGCCACCTGCACCCAAGGCCAGTTGCCACCCTTTGTGGCCAAATCCAGGGGGTGATGTTTACGAGGAGAAAATACCTGTGGATTTCAACAGCTACGTGCCTTCTCTCTCATACCCTGCACCTCAGGAGGACCCCTTCCTGCTCACCTATACCTCTCATCCTCACCAGCAATACTCACTGCCAGGCAAGAGTGGCCGATGGGATTTTGACGAAGAAATGACATGCATGAGTTTGGATCACTGCAACAGTGAAATGCTTCTAAATCTCTGTCCTTTGAGATGACTGATGACTGAGATCTTCCATAGGCCACCCTGTACACTGAAAAAAAGCTACTTTTGGAAATGGCTAGAAGAATTTCTCATTTTTAAGATATGACTGCAGGTAAATGGGACTCAACAAGCAATAAACAAGACTTCTTTGTTCCTGCAAGAAATCTTTTTGCCTCCTAGTACTCATCCTCGGCCAGGAACGGACATTCAACTGATGTACTGTGTCAAATGCCCCCTGGTTTCCCTCCACATCATTCTGGGCCTTTGGCATCTCAGTGAATTATCCTTTGGGTTTTCATTGTTGCTAACACATATCAAATGGACAAAGATGGGAAAAGTCTACCTTCTTAGGATCTCATATGTGCCTCCTTGGGAACTGAAAATGAAGGATCAGACTCTCTTAGTTACTTTCTTGTCACTGAAAGAAACACAATACCCAACACCCACAACTTAAGGGAAGAGAAGTTTGCTTTGGCTGACATTTCAATCTGTGGACTGCTCTAAGGCAGAAACAGCATGACAGCATGAAAGAGGGCCGTGGAGGAGGAGAAGCTTCTCATGTCATGATGGTGGAGAAGCAGAGAAAATCATGGGAAGAGCTGGGATGAGTACACTCCTCTAAGTCATGCCCACTGTGACCACCTCTTCTGAGCAGACTGTGTCTCTTAATAGCAAGTCAGCTATAAAGCCCCCATAATCCAGTCACCTCCCAAAAGCCTCCCTCATGATAGCATGAGCTTCTTGGAAAGCAAACTCACAGCTGTGAACCCCTGTAAATATCAAAAAGAAGTCAAATACTTCCAGCATACAAGGCATAGTGTAAATATTCCCATTCTAAAGAGAAGGAACGAGAGGACAGAAACCAATGGGACCAGAGCAAGATTGAAACTCAGCAAAGCAAGCATTAAATCCTGTAGCTCCAAGTCCAAGTTGTGGCAATGGGATGTGAACTCCGAAGGGCTTGAGTGATGCCATTCCTAAGTTGGTGGTTGTAACTCTCACTGCTTCTCTGTTGAGCTGGCTTTGCTTAGTCCTCACAGCTGTCCTTAGCAGACGTGCCACACTCCTGGCTTCTCCAAACTTCTGGGGCTCCTCTGCACCTTTGGCTTCACACTCACAGCTTCACACACTCCCCTCTCAGGGGCCCCCTGCCTGGGCTCCCAGGCCTTCTGCTGAAGTCTGGGTGGAAGCCTTCCTGACTTCATAATTCTTGCATTTTTCATGGCTGTAAAAACCAAGACCACAGGGACAATGCCAAGGCCTGCTGCCAGCTGGAACAGTAGCCAGGCCCCTTGAATTACGGTTGTATAGGTCTCTGAGTGCCTGGGTGACCGAACAGTATGAGCCATTTCCCAGGAATCTGATCCTTAGGCAGCCATTCTGGAGCACTGTGCCCTGGGACATTCTTCTCAAAGCAGTCTTTTACTTTGTCAATTTTAAGCCTGCAGTGGATAGGGCCTTGCCTGTTCCTCACATGCTCTCTACTGATCTTATCGTCCTGCTGTAAAGTACTTGGCTTATCTTTTTGTTTTTTAATTAGAACATGTTTGTAGTACATGCAGTTTACAGTTATCTTGGGGAATAGGTACATGTTCATAATATAACTTGCTTATGTTTTTAATCCCTTTCCCCTTCTCCTTTCCCTCCCTCCCTCACTCCTCTTCTAGTCCCCTCTCCCCATTTTCATTTTTGTTGATATTATTAATCTTAGCTCATGTTTATGGTATATAAATGTTTACATTCATGAAGTAACTAGGTTCCTCTACATGGCATGCCTTTATTCTACTTATTTCCCCTTCCCTCCTTCCTTAGCCCTTGCCTTTAGTCTCTTGAGCCCCTACCATTTACAAGAAATCCATCTCTTTGTCCCTTTCTATCCATCCTTTATTATTCTTTTTGTTTGTACTTTGCCTTACTCAAATGAGAGATACATACAGTATTTAAGCTTGTGTGTCTGGTTTATTTCACTCAATATTATACTTTCAAGGTGCATCCATTTTCCATCAAGCATCTCAAATTTGTCCTTTATATATGAGCAGTATTTTATTATATATACAGATACCACATTTTTTAATTCATTCATATCCATATCTATATGTATACCCATATTTTGAGGGTATACAGGCTCCTTCCAGGATTTAGCTATTATGACTTGTGTTGCTATAAACATCGGTATGCTGTATCTCTGTAGTATATGTTAAGCTCTTTGGGGAACTGGCTTCTTTATAATGCTAATCTCAGCAACCAAACTCACCTCCATCTTGAAGGAAATTTTCTTTGGCAAAATTGAAAAGTTTTAAGTGGGCTTTTTGCTCCTAGGATAAACTAAAAGTAGTAGGCAGGATCCATGCTACAGCCACAACATTGGTCTGCTTTGAAGCTTCCTCTACAGATTAACCAATCCACCATCCTTAATCTTAGCCTCCTACAAAGTCTCAAGAAATGAGCAAAATGTAGACAAGCTTTTTGCCATAGTATAACTTACACAGTCTAGAGTCCAGCTGCCAATGGATTCGTTATTCACAACAGAAACCTTCTGAACCTGATCATTAGTTTGTCTTTTCATCAGCATTCTGGTCTCTGAGCTAACACTAGAATCTCCCATAAAACTTGACTTACTGCATTTTAGGGTGCTTCTCCAGCCAGCATCTCCAAACTTTTCTAAAGCCCTCCTTCAAACATGTTCCAAAGGATTTTGAACCACATGGTCAGGCAGTGTCACAGTAATGACCCCTCCTGGTACAAACTGTGTCTTGGTTACTTTCTTCTTGCTGAAACAAAATATCCAACACCCATAACTTGAGGTAGGTGGCTCATGTTTCAGTCCATAGTCAATTGGCTCCAAGGCAGGTTGGCTGGGAGTGGGCATGGAGGAGAAGCTGCTTGTGTCATGATGGTGGAGAAGCAAATCAAGGGAGGAGCTGCAACAAGAGATACATATTTCCAGGTCATACTCTCAGTGCACCACATCTTCTGGCCAGACTGCACCTTTTAATAGCCAGTCAATGGTAATACCACTATAACTCAACCACCTCCCAAAGGCCCCTCCTATGGTCATACGAGGCTTTGGAGAGACATCTGCATATAAACCATAGCACAGACATTGAGGGTTGGGAGGCTCTGGAAAGTAGAAAACAGTATTCCACTACTCAGGTATCTAATACTTTGTCTAGTGATGGAAATCTATAAAATATGTATTTTCTTACTGATTTCTAAGAGTTGTCAAGATAAGAGACATGGCCTAACCTCATTTCATAAAGATAAAAAGCAGCAAAATTAAGTGGACATGTGAAGAGAATTCTGGTGACTTCCTCCCTTATGCCTCTCCTTTTCCCTCTTCCTCACCAATGCCCTCTTCCGTAAGGGCTTACATTTTGGTCTCATCTTTATAAAGCCCAGCTCCATGCCAGGTTCATATTATGTGAGAAATGTTTGCTTTGAAAAGCCTTAGTGGGAGCTGGGGTGTAGCTCAGTGCGGGGGAACACATGGGTTCAATCCCCAGCACCAAAAACCAAAAAGCCTGCACATGTCCATGGTCAGATGGTCAGCTAAGTGTATTTGAATGCCAGTTGCTTTTATTTGCTGAAGTATTTTTTTAAGAACCTAGACATACAAATTTGGAAAGTCCCAATAATTTCTAAAAAAGTATTCTAAAAAGTAAATATCTTTTGTCTTTATTGGATTGATAACAAATGAACATAATATAAAATTCAAAAGTGAAACAGAAATCTTGTTTCTGGTCTCCTCACAATGCTGACCAGTTCTTCTAGAGTTTAAGCACATTTTCTACAGGTATATATGTATGTATTGTTTATATAACCTGTAACATAAAATACATACATGTGTATAGAATATGTGGTAAGGTGTCATACCAGATTCATCTCTGACCTAGATTTTGTCATTTCAGGACACATAGGACCACAGATGTTTCATTATAAATGATGTTTAATAACACTATTACACTTAAATAATCCTGTATTAGATTAGGTTGATCTGGATCTACTGAATTTCTTTGTCTTGGTGCATGAAACATTCATTTTAGCAAAGTTATAAATCAAATGCATGTGGAAGTAGCATCCAGGCAAAGGAATTGGGTCTACTCCTAAGAAGGTTCTCTAATTGCAACCCCAATCCACCCATTTCTGATCAAAAGCCCCTTCTGCATCTCAAAGGTGATCTCTAAGCTGGCTCTTTATTGGGGGTTTTGTTTGGTTTTTGAGACAAGGTTTCCCTATGTAGTTAAGACTGGTCTTGAGCTCACTATGTAGCCCAGGCTGGCTTTGAACTCACAGCGATCTTCCTGCCTCCTTTCCAAGTGCTGGGATTATAGAAGTGTGCCACCATACCCGGCTCTTATATTTTCACTGCCTTTGTAGGTATCCTAAACAATGGTTTGGTTTTGCCATTTGGGGGGGAACCTAATGAAATCTAGGTTATGATACATCGAAGAATTACTTGAGTATAGTATCCACGCAGAAGAGTGCACAGGTCATATAGCACGTACCTCAGTAAACTAAGAAATCCCAGTTTAGCGACTACCACATTGGTGCTCTTCCAGAACCCAGCATACTTCTCAGAATAAAGACAGTCCACAGCTGCCACGGCTCCCTGCAAAGACTGGCTTTCAGTGAAGCTGTGCTGCACATTTAGGAGGCCCAGCAGAAAGAACAGGCCACCTGGGCAGCGGGCACTGGCCCCAGCATGGTGGAGACAGCTAAGTCTGGGAGGCTGGCTACACTGCAAAACCTGCAGGATGGAACTGGGAGAGAACTTGGGTTTCTACCAGCTTTCTAGAATTTCAAACATTTTCCCTCCACTGGACTAGGTGCCCTTTTATCCAAACCTTTCTTCACTTTAAAAAATCTGACCTTGATACGTGTCAGGGAAAGAACATGTGTGTAGTTTGAAGAATCAGACAGTACTGTGATGGTTACGAGCAGCCGCCACCTCCACCTTCAAGTCTGGTTCCTACGCCTCAAAATGCGTCCATGTCTTAACTCTCAGCTGCTGCTTCTTGTCCCTGCCTCAAGGATACTGGATAATGCACCGACACATCTGCTTTTCCTCTCCATACATGCACGTGCTATGACCATGTCCAGGTCCAGACACACATGGCCACTGCCCTCATGCTCCTTTCTGCCCTAGAATTTAAAGATCCATTTTATACAATAAAATCTGCTCATTTTATTTTTATTTTATTTATTTATTTATTTATTTATTTTTTGAGACAGGGTCTCACTATGTAGTTGAGACTGACCCAGAACTCACTATGCAGCCCAGGCTGGTCTTGAACTCACAGTGATCCTCCTGCCTCAGCCTCCCAAGTGCTGGGGTTACAGGCATGCGCCACCACTCTCGGCGAAATCTGCTCATTTTAAATGCACAGTTTTGTGCATGTACATGACCAATTTATACAATGAAACAGCACCCAAATCAAGATACAGAATGTGGCCAGAACCATAGAAAGTTCTGCTGTGCTCCTTCACAGCTACCCCTACTTCAGTGATGGTGAACCTTTTAGAGTTTTTTATTTTTTAATAATACAAAGAGCCCCCTGTGGCACTTGTACCACTGCCTGACTTGAGCTCCAATTTTGCACTTCCTGAAATGTCATATAAACGGCATCCTAAGATCTTTCTGTTTTTTGTTTTGTTTTGTTTTTTAAAACAAGGTCTTGCTATGTAGTTCAGGTTGGCCTTGAACTCATTGCCATGCTCCTCCCTCCGCCTCCCGAGGGCTGGGATCGCAGCCTGTGCCACCACGCTCAGCCCTAAGATCTTTTGCTCTGGTTTCTTTCATTCACCACATGCTTTGGAGGTCTGTCTGTGTTGTGTGTTCTGGGTGCTCCATCCCTTTTTACTCAATTGTGTGGCTACACCACACTTTATCTATCCACATCAGCCTGCAGGAATTAGATTGTTTTCAGTTTTCCCGATTAAAAAATTAAACTGCTATGAATATTCACATCACAGGTTGCTTTGTGCACTCAGGGTTTGATTTCTCTTGGATGCATCACCAGGAGTGAAATTTCAACCTATGTCAAGCACAAGTTAGAACTTGAGCAGAAACTGCCGAATTGTGTGACCAAATGGCTGGATCACTTCGCAGCTCTCTGTCAGTAAAGAAGGAGAGGTTCTGTTGCTTCTTGACTTGGTCTCCAAGTTCTTGCTGTTCCAGTCAGTAAGCAGTGGAGGAAACTCACTGAGGTCTTTATTGGTATTTCCCTTGTGACTAAGAATCCTGCACATCTCTGAGTGTTGTCACCTGCAGATCTCGGTAAACTGTCCGTTCAAATCGTTTGCCCACTTCGTTGGATTCTCAGTAAAGAATCTAAGAGCCAGGAATGCTGGTGCACACCTGTAATCTGAGAGGCTAAGGCAGGAGAGTCAAAAGGTCAAGATCAGTCCTGGCAAGCTGCAGACTTAGGAATACTCTCACAATAAAAAATAAAACAAGGCTGGGGATGAAGCTCAGTGCAAAGGCCCTTTATTCAATCCCCAATACTGACGAATAAACAAAACAAAATAAAACAAAAAGAATAGTTCTAAAGTTATACACTCAGGGTTTAAAGCTTTTAGATGAAGGTCCATAATCAAATATATGTTTTACAAATATTTTTCCCACTTATTGTGTCCTTGCTAATCCAAAGCCAGGAAGATCTTTTTTCCTATATGCTCT